ATTGATGCAGCCTAGAATTGCATTGGCTTTTTTAGATGTCACATCACACTGTTCACTTATGTTCAACTTGTAGTCTACTAGGACTCCTAGATCGCTTTCACACATGTACCATTGTCCAGCCAGGTGTACCTCATCCTATACATAGGATGTATCCTATATATTCTATATGGCGGGCAGAACTGGTTGGGTCCTGCAAGTCTGGTGTGTGTCACCATGTTTTTCTACTGCAGTGTATATTCAGCCACGAGATCAGTGGGGAAAAGTTAGATTGGTTTTTCCCTCCCTCTCCTTCTTTCTCGCTCAAATGTTGGGTATTTATTTATTTATTTATTTATTTTTACTCTCTCTCCCTCCGATCTTCCCCCTGAGCCTGATCAATATTGTGTCATCTTTATTTTCACTTCAGTAAATGGAACATATTCAGTCCCTCTGCCCTGATCATTCACTTGTTCACTTGTGTGGAAATCTCCCTTTTCCCTCCAATCTGCCCCATAAAAATATTGCAGATCTTCTATCCTAGTGATGAAAAATATTGCATTTTTTTAAAAAACAACAACATTTTATTTAATTATTTAGAGTATTTATACCCTACTCTTCAGCCACAAAGACTCTCGTAACATCCTACAGATTGCTAATTTGACAGTCCCCTGCCCTCATTTTGCCCTAAAATGTCCTCTGGGGAGGCATTTCAACCACATTTGGTCCCTGCCTGGGTGAAATTAGGCCCAGGACAGGCTTTTTTGGAAACAAGTAGTGAACAGAAAGTGACTACCAGTTACTCTCTGTTGTTAAAGGGGTTCTAAAACATGGTGAAAATGCCCCCATGTCACCTATAAATTGTTGAGAGTATTTGGTGGCAATACAAATGATTTATTTTATTTTATTGGCAAAAGTGGGTACGGTGGGCAGAGTGTGACCTTCCAAGCTCTTCTGGAGGGCTAATGTTGCCCTCTACTCTTCTAGATTTGCCGCTTGCTGGTTTAGGTGGAATCTCTTTTCTTATCATCTGAGTCTTATCAACTGGAGGCTCAGAAAGCTTCTTTGTTGGACATGTTTGCTAGATAGACGTTTTGATGGTCCAACACTGCTTCTCACATGGCTCTCGTTGGGTATTATTAGCATGGCAGATTTTTCCCAGCCCCCATCCTTGATTTGCATCTGCACTTGTGAGCATGCCAGACAGATCTTGATATGGACTTGGGAACTGCTCAAGTCGCCTAAAGGGAAGCGTGGAGGAAAAAAAGATTTTTCATTATGTTGTCAAAAATAGCAAGTTCATCTCCTGCGGTGAGGGTCACAGTTTTCGAAGGAATGCTTCATATACTTTATTATCTGCATGTTAAGTGGCTTTGCTATATTAATTATCGTTATCATCCCCCCAAATACTCCACATTTAATGAAAATGCTGGAGCGACTCCTTGAGCTTGAGAAGGAGGATGTAATCGAGCGTAAGATGTCTAATTTTCAGGAACATTTTGCATGCAGGCGGATCTTGTGAACTGAAAGGCATAGTTTGTTTGAACTTTTATTCTAGCCTGTTCATTGTTACTTCTCTTTCTTTCCCATTTTTATTGGTAATTTGCTCCTTTAGTATCTGATAAGTTTCTTTGGCAAACTGGAAACAATATCAGAAGCCTCCTGTGGCTGGCTTAATATGTGAATATCCCCATGGGTGATAAGGAAGGCTACTGATGGGAAAACCAATATACAATGCTGATAGCTTTGACGGTTATTTTAATAAAGATGGTCACAGACCTGCCCCTCTTGCTCAGGATTTGGAATACTAATTTTAAAAAGGAACTAGTTACTGTACTCATTACTAATGACCTATAGGTCATTACTGTTTACTGTTTCTGAAGTCCAGAAAGATAAGTTGTTCAATTGCTTGTTAATTACATGTTGGTCTTACTCTAATGCCATTTAGACAAAATGCTCCCTGGTTCCCCCAGGGGGACAATTCAGTTATTGCAAGCTGGACATTAGGAGAAAAATACAAAAGACATTGGTCTGGATCCTATTGGTTAGTCCCAACTAGATGAGAGTACCTGAATTGATTCTTGAATGGTGAATTAACACATATGTAAATCCCATTATTAATCAGATTTACTCCAGTTGGGACTAGCAATAGAATACAGATCTTTACCTAATGTAAGGTACTGCACTTAGGGTGGAAAAACAAAAAGCACAGATATACGATGGGGGACACCTGGCTGAGTGAGACAATGTGTGAAAGGGATCTAGGAATCCAGGTGGACCACAAGTTGAACAGGAATCAAAAGTGCGATGCAGCAGCTAAAAAGTCCAATGCAATTTTAGGCTGCAT